CTTATGGGTTTCTGTGGATTTGTTTCTCTAAAGCACCCAGACTAACACACCATCTAAGTTTGTATGGGATTTGCAGTGGCTGGATTTGGAGAAGGAAAATATCCAAGGCTCCTGTGAATGGAATCGAATCTCCAACCTTCTGGTTAGCTCCAGAGCCGGTTGCGCTAGTGGCCCGAGTTGCACAGGGCCTCCTCTGGTTGGATGAAGACCTCCTTCAGTTCTGTGCTGTACCAGAGTCCTAGCTAAAATGCCCCAAGGCTGTGCAGGTGCACACTGGCTCAGTCCTCCCACAGGGCTTTCTCCCTGAGAGTGGCTTGGTGTTAGTTGGGGACAGGCAGGACCAACTTAAGGTGAGAGTGCAGCTGTGCATTGATCCTTCCATTGGAATTTTGGTGTCCATGTGTACCCCTGTGCCCTTGGGTAGGATTGTATGGGGGTTGGGGAGCGGAGGGGGGCAGCCTTTTGTAGAAAGTTCAAACTCCCTGGAGGCCAGAGCCCCAGGCCCTTTGCTCCCTGCCTCCCCCCCCCGTCCTCAACATGGCTTCTCTGGGAGAAGCCACATCATATTTTGATGTAGGCCTCCAATCACACAAACGCAGTGATGGCTACTGCAAATGTATCGATTTGTTTTTTCTCCCTAGACCCGTGTGCTGTTTGTAGGTAGACGGGGAGAAAGCCTGCGAACAGAGTGGAATCTACTTCTTAGAAGCCTGGGTTATCAAACTCATTAATCTACATGTCAAGAGGCTAGGAATGAATAATTGTGTGTAGAATTTATCTGCCAACATGATAGCTACTTTTCAGCCTTCTCCTCAGAGCTCCTCCATTGCGCGCCGCTTATTATAAGCTTTGTCTTCCCCACCCGAGCCTGCTGGGGCGGAGCAGGGCTCAGGCCTCAGCCCACCGAGGACAGTTGCTTTGAAAGCTGACACAGTGCGGTCCCGGCTCGCACAGGCCGCTCGCTAGGAAAGGCGCCTGATTAGTGCTGGACGCGCTGGCTCTGGCATCCAAGTGGGGGCTAATTAGAAACTGGCCTTCCACTGTTGCCTCTCACTTGCTTGGCCTGGGTTTCTGTGATTTTGGGAATGGTATTGTCTGGGTGGGGGAAGAAGCAGGGTGTCCTTGGAACCCACCCTGTCCGCTGTACCCAGTTAGAGTGAAGGGATTTGGGCAGGAGATGGTGGCACGGGTAAAGTGGGATGGATGGGCTTGCTGGGAGCTGGGGCACGTATGGGTCACCGCTGTCACCCTCAACAAAATAAGCCAGGCTCCCTAAACAGCCCAAGACAAGCAGCAGGGGAAGACAAGGTACTGTCCTGGCTGGGTGGGACTGGCCTGGCGTTTTAAGACAACTTGGCAGATGGAAGTTGAAGGAGGTGTTGAGTCTCAGCACATGGCCGCCCTCTGCCCATCTGCGGCAGCCGCTTTGGAAGGGTATGTGCAGAGGCAGGCTGTCCTGCCCTCCAACTCAGGGTTCGTCCAGGAAGCCCTTTCCACAGCGACCCTCTTGCCAGTAGTATCCCCGGGCAGCCTCTGCCTTGTCAGCTACATTTATGATGTGCTCATAATTAAATGTCCACGAAGCTCCCAGCGTGCTGACCACAGAGGGGCCATAAGCAGTAAGATAAATGAGACTGAGAGATGTAATATTGCTTCACTTATGGGCTTGAGCTGATGTTAAAGATTGTCAGGGATAATTATTAATATGTGACCTGGTTGAGTCTTTATGTGAACAATCACAATTTTAATAAAGTGGTAAACTCTGGTGGTTGCTGTCCGCACCACCTCCTGTCTTTGACATGCTCACCGTAGTGCTTTAGGACTTCAGACAAGCCCTCCTTTTCTCTGCTTTGCAGGTGATCATACAGCGCCCCCTCACGGAAGCCTATTCCAAAATCAATGGATGCAAAGTCTAGCATTGGCTGTATGTCCATGTGTGTGGCCTGTCCAGTGCCTTCACTTCCTGCGGGAGGGTGACAGGAGGGAAGACCAAGTGAGAAGGGCAGGGGAATGTGCTGCAAGCAGTCAGTATTGCTAATCATTCTGCCTAGTGGGCCTGGGGACTTGCAGGCCACTGCTTCTTCCTGGGCTCTCAGCCTTTGTGTCCAAAGGGTGCTTGCTTCACCATTAGACCCTCTGCCTGAAGGCCTCCTCAAAGGGCTGCACCTTGGGTGTTACAGCTACCTCCTCTACAAGGGGAACCATGGTGTACTGGTAACACAATGGGCTGCTAACTGCAAGGTCCGCAGTTTGAAACCACCAGCCTCTCCTCGGGAGAAAGACGGGGCTTCTGTTCCCATCAAGAGCGACAGTCTCAGAAGCCCACAGGAACAGGTCTACCCAGGCCTTGTGGGTCTCCATGAGTCAGCATCGACTCGATGGCCAGGAGAGTCAGCAATGAGAACCAGACGCCTGGGGGTGGGCTGGAGGGGTGGACTGTCTCCCTCCAGTACCCAGGGTGGCCTGCAGCCAACAATTGAGGCTGGTTTTGGGGGACAGATGCCTAGTTTCTTTGTTGGAAAAGGCAGGACAAATATCAAGGCATAATTCACATTTTAGAAAATGCTGGTCTAAATAATTTGGATGCTGCCTGGAAAACTAAATTCAACTGACAAAAATGATCTTTGGAAGATAAACAGTATCATGTAAAAATTAATGATAATCCAAATATAAGACCCTTGAATATTTCAAAAATGTCTAAGGGGTAGATTGCTTATGCATTGGGCTGCTAACCACAAGATCGGAATTTGGAAACTCTTGGCGGGGGGAGCGGGGAGACATGGTTTTCTACTCCTGTCAAGAGTGACCGTCTCCAGAACCACAGGGGCAGTTCTGCCCTGTGCAATCGGGTTGCTGTGAGTCGGAACCGACAGGGTGACAGTGAGTTTTCGAAGGGGTAGATGGAGAAGAAACAATGGCGTGGGGTCTGGAGGAGAAGTACATTGCGTCACAAAGGAGCATTAGAGGGTTCAATTTCCTATCAGATTTTAATAATTATAAAAAACACAGGAATTAAATATCTCTCATTCACTGCCACCGAGTCAATACTGACTCATAGGGGCCCTATAGGACAGGATAGAAAGCCCCATCTTTCTGCCTCAGATTGGGTTGGTGGTTTTGAACAGCTAACCTTGTGGATCACAACCCAATGCATAACCACTATGCCACCAAGGCTCTTATGAGAATAGAGGGGCCTTATAATACTTTTAAAATGTTTAATACCATTCATTACTCAATTCTCAATGGCATCTCTGTTTACTGAAATCAATATCAAAGAAAATAGATTTCATAGATGGAAGTAGGGTAGAAAAGGGAATACAAAGAAGAATAAGAAAGATAAAAAACAAAACAAAAGCAAAAAACAAGACTGCAAGATGAGCTAAACCAAACACAGGAGGTTTGGGATCAGAATATTGATCTCAGATAAAGTATAACAGGATGTAAACATTAGAAATAGCGAAGCAATAATTTTTAAAATCATTTCATTAGGGGCTCATACAACT